CAGTAGCTCAGTTGTAAGGTCTGCCTTTACTAAGGGGGGAAAACGTGCCTCCAATTACTTGTAAAGTGCAGCTGCTCCAGCAGTCTTTTACTCCAGCACAGCAAGGGAGTCCCTTGTTGCATTCCAAGTCACAAGATGACAATGCAACATATCTGGGGCAGAGGTGCCCTAGTAACCATTGGGCTTCTCTTGGGGACATGCTTCTGGGTGTGGAGCTACATGCAATGTCCTTTCTTATTCAGAGGCCTTATTCTCACCCCCTGAAAAAAATGGAATCCAGTCCCAGGGACCTGGCACATAAGATGCTACTCTGTGAAAATATTTTATACAGGCTAATTGTGCAGAGTATGAAGAACTCTTCCCCTCCTTACACTCATTGCATGTTAAATGCATCTTCATTGCATGCAGAGTTCTGAAAGGAAAGGATTCTGGGGCTGTATCAAAAAGAGAAACTGGAGCAGAAGTTTGTGATCTGCCCAGTCAGTAAAGGATGCTACTCTACCACCTGTTCCAATATGAATCTTTCCATGCATTCATAAAGATCTTCATGAGTTCCTTCTCCATCTTAGCAATGAAGTGGGTGTGACATATGGCATTCATTATCATGGCACCACAACTGTATAATGTTCTGCCCCAGGGCCTACTGGGTCCAAGGATCTCAGGTTCAATCCCTGGAATCTCCAGGTAGGGCTGGGAAGTACTCTGGTATGAAATCCCAGAAAGCAGTATTATTAAACTAATTTGTACAATGTGAAATTCTTCGTTGTCAAATATTCCCTGTTGTCGCATGCATTCCACACAGAACTAAACCTAAGGCATCGGCAAAGGTGCTAGATGTTGGTTAATGAGAACACCTTGCATCCTACATTTTGAAACTGGAGCTATTCTCCAAATATTACACAGTAATTCTTTTTTTTTTAAGTTGGAAGCAAATCCCACTGAAATAAATTGTAAGTGCTTCCCATCATCATTATCATCAAGTTTGTTTATATTCAAATAGCACATTGAACCACTTGAATAGCCAACATACTCAAAGAGGTTGAGGTTGCAGCATTCAGATGAAGTAATATTAGAGCCATGAAAATGTAAATTTCAATGTGGATTCAGTTCTTCCTCCTAAAATAATCACAGCAGGAAGAACGGCTCCAGCAGTTGAATTTTTATTTTGTTTTCCCCATGCTGGGTGAAAGTCACAAGATCAACATAGAGTTTTTTAAAAATGATGTGCAATCACCAGCACTCTGGAAGTATCCATAAGGCTACCATCATTATCAGGAAGCTAATGAGAACACTCAAACATATTTAAGCCAGCTTGTTTGGGAAAATGCTCACGTGAAACAATACACAGTTCATGCTCTTGATCTTTTATTCTCATTAACAACGGTGATCAAGAATAGACAAGGAGCAGCTATGCTCATATAAAAAAATTAAACAATTTCAGAGAGTGCAATTTAAGACAAGGGAATTAGAGCATGACTTGCTTTTTAATTATTCTCACTTTAAAACAAAATGATCAAAACAAATTCCTATTCTGACATTATTCTTCCTTGATGTAAATCTGCTAAACCTCAGAGCCTGTAATGATCTCAGTTGTTCCAGAATCAATATAATTATCTGGATAATATGCCATTTTAAGGAAGGCCGGCATTTGGAAAACATGATTTGATGAAAAAACTCAAATAATAGGACTGCCTTCTACACCATAATTTCCTCCCTAAACAAGCTCCACAATAGACAATATTTTCCTATTCCTTGCCCCATACAGGAAGGCTCCTGGTTGTGTACAGTTGCATCAGCTTTGTCTGTCTTGAGATAATCATAATGGATGTACAGCCATATCTTGGAAGTCGAACGGAATCCATTCCGGAAGTCCCTTTGACTTCCAAAACATTCAGAAACCAAAGCGTGACTTCTGGGTTTACGGCGTTTGGGTGCCAAAACGTTCGAGTACCATGGTGTTCAGGGTCCAAGGTACGACTGTACATTAGCCTGGTTGATGTTAATATAAAAATGCTATTTGGACTAAAAATATGATAGATGTAAGAAACACTTGCCAGTGGTAGATGTGAAAAGGATCTAGGGGTCTTAATAGACCTCAAGCTTAACATGAGTCAACAGTGTGATGCAGCAGTTTAACAAAACAAAAAAAGCTAATGCTATTCTAGGCTGCATCAACAGAGGTACAGTGGTAACTTGGGTTACAAATGCTTCAGGTTACAAATTCCGCTAACCCGGAAGTAGTACCTCAGGTTGTGAACTTTGCCCCAGGATGAGAACGGAAATTGTGTGCAGGTAGCGCAGTGGCAGCAGGAGGCCCCCATAAGTGAAAGCATGCCTCAGGTTAAGAATGGTTTTGGGTTAAGAACGGACCTCCGGAACAAATTACCGTATTTTTCACTCCATAAGACGCACCTAGTTTTTAGAGGAGGAAAACAAGAAAAAATATTCTGAACAAAACAGTGGATGTATAATTTTTGTGGTTCATGCTGTGGCCACAGACATGTGATTTGACGGTGAGTTTGGGGTAGCCCAATGCAAAAATTCTGAGGATCCATGTGGATCCGTGCTTTGTAACCACGTTTTAAGTGGGGAAGGAAGGAAAAACACTGAAGGGACAAGGAGCACGCATGGGGTGTGTGGAGAAGGAGCTTTTCACCAAGCTGAGCTGGGGAGGAGGGAGGGAAAGAGAGCACGCTCGCTTTAAAGGAGCCAACTGGACAGGAGCCACTTACACCCGTGTAAGCAGCTCCTCTCCTCTCCCGCTTTGCTCCGTTAAAGCAAGCAGGCTCTCGTTCTCTCCCTCCTCCCCGGCTCAGCTCGCTGAAAAGTTTTGCTGCTTTTCAGCAAGCTGAGTGGGGCGGAGGGAGGGAGGGAAAGAGAGCACGGTTCCTTTAAAGCAGCCAACTGGACAGGAGCCGCTTACACCCATGTAAGCGGCTCCTCTCCTGCTTTGCTGCTTCATAGCGAGCCATGGAGGAGGGAAGGAAGGGGAACCATGGATCCTCTGCTCACAACTGCAGCAGGACCTCCCCGCCATCCATAGGCATTAGCTCCATAAGACGCACAGAAATTTCCCCTTACTTTTTAGGAGGAAAAAAGTGTGTCTTATGGAGCGAAAAATATGGTAAGTTCGTAACCCGAGGTACCACTGTAGTGTTCGGGTCATGGGAAGTAATATTTTATCCTACCTTGGTCAGTTCAGACCTGGAGTACTGTGCCCACTTCTGGGCACCACAATTTAAGAAGGATATTAACAAGCTGGAACATGTGGACAGGAAGACGACCGAGATGATCAAGGTTTTGGAAACCAGGATGTATGAAGAATGGTTAAGAGAAATGGGTATGTTTAGCCTGGTAAAGAGAAAACTGAGAGGAGATTTGATAGCCATCTTTGAATATCTAAAAGGCTGTCACATGGAAGATGGAGCAAACTTGTTTTCTCCTGCTCCTGAGGCTAAGACCAGAATCAATGGATTCAAGTTCCATGAAAGGAGATTCCAACTAAATTTCAGTAAGAACTTTCTGATGGGAAGAGCTATTAAACAGTGGAATGGACTCCCCTGGAAGGTGGTGGCATCTCCTTCCTTGGAGGTTTTTAAGCAGAGGTTGGATGGCCATCTGTCAGGGATGCTTTGGTTGAGATTCCTGCATTGTAGGGTGCTGGACTAAATGACCTTCAAGGTCCCTTCTAATTCTATGACTCTGTAATAGGAAGCCAAAGCAGCAAATGATTTCACACTGCCCAGATGTGAGCTGATTTCACTCTCTGTTTTTTAATACAGCATATTGGCTTCATCTTAACACCTATTATAGCTTCCTTGTCTCTGAAGTAACACATATAAATGCACAGTAACATTCCTTAAACAACCTGTTTAAGAGAGCAAGGTAAAGGTAAAGGTACCCCTGCCCGTACGGGCCAGTCTTGCCAGACTCTAGGGTTGTGCGCTCATCTCACTCTATAGACCGGGAGCCAGCGCTGTCCGGAGACACTTCCGGGTCACGTGGCCAGCGTGACAAGCTGCATCTGGCGAGCCAGCGCAGCACACGGAACGCCGTTTACCTTCCTGCTAGTAAGCGGTCCCTATTTATCTACTTGCACCCGAGGGTGCTTTCGAACTGCTAGGTTGGCAGGCACTGGGACCGAGCGACGGGAGTGCACCCCGCCGCGGGGATTCGAACCGCCGACCTTTCGATCGGCAAGTCCTAGGCGCTGAGGCTTTAACCCACAGCGCCACCCGCGTCCTGGTTAAGAGAGCAAAGAGGTCTCTAAATAAACAGTGCTCTGATCGTTCTAAAATATTATGTCTTCCTAACACATTTGCGAAGCAGTGTGTCACTGCCTCTTCTACGTTTTCTTAAATGAAATTTGAAGTCTGCTAAATTAAAAGTCGGCATCAAAGCAATGTAACGTGTAGGAACAAATCACTCTTTCTATGAAGTAAAAAAAATCTAGAAGTTATCTAAGGATGAGTGAAAACAATGGCAGAAAGTAATGGCAGATAGAGGGTTCATGAAGATTGGTAATATAAACAATGCACAATCTGTGGAGGTTGAACTAACAGGCAATCCCTATCTAAGGAATCCTTCATTTTGTGGCTACTGAGAATGCAAAGTCTTCATTGGATATTTTTTTGTGGTACATGCTGGTACCTCCCTCTTGTTTCACAGTACGCTCCCCTTTACTATATAGCATTTGAGTTTTCTATTAGTACATAAATTTTTATTTTATTAAAAGAAGTGATTGCAAAATAAATTGTTCTTCTGATAGGTTGTTTGGTAGGCTGTGTTGTTTCACCTCTTTCTTTAGCAGGATCTAGCATAGCATAGCTCTTGATGCACAAGTGTTTTGTATGCTTGTTGGTATTTAAGCAAGCACAATATTTTTTACATGTGGGAGCAGTCAAATAGAGGTGTCTGCAAATTAGATCCTTCAAGTGAAACAATAGTGAAGTATGTGAATATATGTATGTTTCATATATTGAGCAGACAACATCTAGGACTTGGACTGATAGCTCAGTTGGTAGAGCATAAGACTCTTAATCTTAGGGTCAAGGGTTCGAGTCCCACATTGAGCAAAAATATTCCTGTACTGCAAGGGGTTGGACTAGATGACTCTCGTGGTCTCTTCCCACTCTACAATTCTATGATTCTATGTCAGGAAAGGGTGCATTATGTCATTATCACATCCAGTTTTTCTGTCTTCTTTCTGGCATCCCTATCTCAGCAATGTTGGCATTAAACCAACAGAACAAGGCAAGAGATTGCCAGGAACCTCTGAAATATGTGGTTAAAATGAACTCATTTGGAAATAATGGAAATATTTCATTAATACTTGATTGAACAGCTTATGGGATTAATCTTTTTTTGTCTTAAAGTGGATTTTTTTTATATAATTCCACACTTTTCTCCTGTACTAATAGTTTGAGCTATGACCATTTATGAAGGAGAGATAAGTCTCTGACGTCCTCTGCATTCTACAGTGAGAATAAAATTAAAAATGGGAAAGGAAACAATTGTTCAAATTAAAGCAGAATAGAACAAGTCATTTCTTAAAGAGGTATGAGAACCAAAGGGTAAAGCATTTACTGAAGTCATGGCACTAAACTTTAAAATACCCCACAGACTGGATTACTTTAATTCCCACTTAGTAAAGTTTACATAAAGGCTTCCCTGCCAAATGCAATGGACTTATAAGTGTGTTTGTTTATGGGTTTGAATAATGCATTGTCTGTGTTGTTGTTAAATTGATTTTTAGAAAGTGTTGTTTAAAAGTGCTAATCTTTAAAGGACACAGCATTTGGTATTGGCTTTAGCTGCCTCTTTTTATCTCTTCCTTCAACCTTTTTTATTTCTTGCATTCAAAGTCCATTTATCCTTCAGTGAAGTCAGAGTAACATCTTAGTCTCCTACCCATTCTGTGAGCCGGTTAAGCTAAGGGATAGTGACTAGCTCAAGGCTATCCAATATGCTTCCTAGTGAACTGGAGAAGTGAGCTGAGATTTCCTACATCCAAGCCCATTCCCAACAGTGATCTCCAAATAATGGGGTATTAAGAGAAATTAAATAACCATGCTGAGTGCATCCATCACTCTGTGCAGAGACTACCTGTAGCATTGACACTGCCCCCTTGCCATGGTATGATCAGTGATGTCATCTTAAGGGAGGAAGCAAACAATGTGATTCCCTTATGCAGCCTTTACAACAAGAGAGAGGCTCAGAGAATCCTAGAGTTACCATTGCCCAGAAACCACGAGCTTTTTTTTTAAAAAAATATATATTTTATTAAGGATTTTCTTGTTTTACAGAAGTGTAGTGCCTTGTATTTTTTTTTTTCATGTAACATTTTTACAAATCCGTTTCATTTGTTGAGGCATTAGGGGAGAAGAAAAAAAATAAAAAATAAAGGGGGGGTGGAGAGAGGGAAGATGGATAGGGGTGGGGTCGGGTGGCGGTGTTTCTATTATGTTTAATGTATGTAGAGTTTGGTGTCAGCGTTGCTTGTGTTGTTCATTTGTGTTCCTTTGGTGGTGAGAGAGGTTGGGGTTGGCCTAGGGTGTGATTGTTTGCTTGTGATTGGCTGTGGTGATCTTTGTTTTCGTGTGTGAGTGAGGTGGGTGGGTGTTTTGGATCAGGTTAGCCATATTGATTTGTATGCTGTTGGTGGATTATTGTCATTGTCCTGTTGGGCTGTGTATGTGATAACCATACCGGGGTGAAGGCGTCTTCTTCTGTTTGTCCCCGTGTCAGTTTCAGTTTATTAGTTAATTTTTCTAGTAGGGCTGTTTCCCATACTATTTGGTACCATTGGTCCATGCTTACTCCTGACAAAACCACAAGCTTTCTGAGTGAATGGGTAAAGGATAATATAACTGACTGATTGGGCAAAAGGCAAGACTGCACAACAGCACAATCTTAACTGTGTCATTCTTCTGTTGGAAGTAGGACACACACCCTGTGTTTTTGCAGCTGACTCTCTGGAAATCAGATCTGGGGTAGTGGATTTTGCTATTGGTGTGTTTAAGCCAGTTCAGAACACAGCCCGAGGGCCACATGCAGCCCTTGATGCCTTTTTGGCAGCCCTCAGCAACCTCTGACCTCCCACACAACAAGGTTCCATGTCAAAGTATTCTTGTGGCCCACTTAGTATGAAAAGTTGGACTGGCTCGGTTAAGCAGTCTGCTTCAATCTGTGGCCAATTTGTATGCTCGTAAATAAACTCAAATATTACAAAGTATCTAGCAATCACTTCATCCAAAGGAAAGAGTGGTTTACAACAGTTATACATATTATTAAAAATACCATCCAAATATTTAAAATCAGAGCTCAGTTAAAAACATGTATTCTTAATTTGGTGCATTCTTAATTGCTTGTATAAACCTGATGGATTGGAAGCATTTTCAGCAGGTGTTTAAAGGTTGAAACAGGAGGCACCTGCTGATTCTTTATTGGCAGAGAATTCCACAAGACATGCCAATGTCACTAAAGGCTTGTTGTCTTGCTGCGGATAAATGAGCCTAACCAACTGAGAAAATGACTAGCAACACGCCTGCAGACAATCTCAGTGATCAAGCTGGGATACAAGGCTTTAGGCAACCTAAGACACCCTGGACCTAACGTCTTCAGGGCTTTGTAAATTAAAATAGGACATTGATCATGGCTCAGTAGTAAATGGAAAGCCAGTACAGATGTTTTAATAATGGTGTCAAATATTGTCGGTGATCAGCAGTCTGGCTGCCACATTGCGTGGACAGGCGGAGTCCCCAGGTCCCGAGCGGCCCCCCCGTCATGTGGAATAACGACTCAAGACAACGTGCTATGGGATTAAATTGGCCACAACTTTATTAAATTTCAAATGTGGGTAGACCTTGGCTCAGGCATTGGGCATTCTCCCTCCCCAGTCCCCAGCTGGGGACCTAGGGAGCATCAGGGTTATCCAGTGTTTGTGTGGGGGATGGGCTGGCTCTGGAGAACATGTGAGGATTCCCAGGTAAGATCCTCCCTCTATTGTGTGGGCAGGTAATCCCTCCCCCACCTGGCCTGATCTCCTTGGCAACGCTTCCCCCAGGTGGGATTGGACAACAGACTGGGGTAGGCGGAGACCTCCAGGTATCCCACCTGAGGGAAGGCAAAGCCAAGCCTATGCTGAATGGAGCCACTCCAGATCCAGGGGCTGCGCGCGTCCACATAAAGGTCGCCCCCCGTTTTATGCGGGGAGTGGTCATTCTGCATCGGCTGCAGTTTCTGAACCAGGCCCAAGGCAGTCTCACACTGCAGTAATCCAGCCTTGGAGTTATCAAAGCATTGACTACAGTGGCAAATCCGACAAGGCTAGTAAAAGGCACTGCTTTTCTTTAGTGTAAACTGTGTCTAACACCAACGTTTGTGTGGTGCAAAATGTCTAAGTTCTCTCACAGATTTGCTTTCTTGTTCATCAACATAAATTATGGGAGAGGGGATTACTGGTTTTGTTCTTGTTTTATTATGTATTTTGAGTTTTTATTTTGTATGTTTATGCTGTGAACCGCTCTGATATCTTTGGATGAAGGGCAGTAAAACTAACTAAACAAATATTATAGAAAAATACTCTTTCACAAAAATGGCTCTTTCACCAGCTCTTCATTCTTAGCTCTGGATAGCCTTGGGCCCGGAAGTGCACACATCCATACTAAGTCATGGTTTGGCTTAGTGTTATGTGTAGACACAGCCAAAGTAACTAAACAGGTAGAATTAAGAACACTGAACTGAAGTTCCCCTTGAGGTGTCCATATCCATTTCACTCACTGAATTTTTAAAAACCTTTCAGGACCTGAACTTCCCTGCACTCCACCGCAACGAAAAGCTGTGTGTTTAAATAATGTAGGTTTTATCATTCATCTAAAGATTCATATTCAGCATTCATCTGTACCACAATCCTTACAAATCCCTTGAATCTACATACATGCAAGTTAAATAAAAATGTGACATATAAAGGTCAAACATGTATAGAAAATGGACCATTAGGGACAGTGCAGGAATCAGCCAAGAAAATGTGGTACAATGAGCATACAATAGTTATTTCTACACTGTGCCATTAAAAAACCCATAAAATGATTAATTTGGGGGAATTGGGAAAACATATTGTAAAATTTAACTTTGCCTATAGCATTTCTATATTAAAAGAAAATAAACTGTACCTTATTTGCATTTCTTCACCAGAGCTCTGATGGCCTGAAAACAAGAAATACATGTGTTTTTAAGTCTTTTGTTTACATTTTTATGTACTAGCTAAAATATATATAAATCTGCTTATTACTACCGCTGTTTACAGTTTATTACAGTAAAGTTTTACTCTGTCTCCTAGGGCCAGAATTGGTTTGCAAAATAAATAAATAAATAAATATAATGTCTTGGAAGATATTTTACACCCACATAGTGGATGCTTTAATAAGATAAATAATATGGAGATGATGCTCAAGGCATTCCTTCAGACAGTCTGCATATTCTAAGCAAGCATTTGTCAATTAAGGATCCAGACAACTAATGCAAGATTAATGCATCAGACACAAAGATATACACAACATGCATAAAACTCAGAAGCAGTTTCAGCCCTTCAGGGCTTTTACTTCCTTACAAATCTCTTAGGACAAAATGTATTCACATCTGCAGTTCATACATTTGCATTTCTTCAATATTGTTTAGTCATATTAAAAAAGAGAATTTACATCCAGATTGAATTTGTCTCTTCCTTCATCCCATTACAAAAAACACCCTGGAGTATGCCAATAATACAGCTAATTCCTGATAGCATTCAAGACTAATTCACATTTGCATGCACATGTATGAGATATCTCCACTGAAAAGTATTGTGTCTGAGGTGATGCAAGAGTTCTGCTTGCGATGTGTGCTCTGCAATAGCTGTTTTCATCATTCAACCAGGACGTCACAAAGGCCACAGTGTTCATGTTGGGTATTTTAGACTCTGGACCTTATGAGAAGGGTGGCCTTTTATATGATCACTAACTTCAAAATGTGGTAAGAGAATCCTTGACTGAACAAAATTCTATACAGTGGTGCCTCCGGTTGTGCACAGGATCCGTT